CTTGGAAAAAATCATATTAAGTGAAGCCTTCAGTTCTTGAAAACATTTGTGACTTTGTGACTTGTGTTAATAAGTGCGTACATGTTAGGTTGGAAAGTAATATAAAATTTGATTGATTGGGAAACCTCGGCCTTGTCACTTAACTTTCTCTAGGTTGCCCTTTTTTATCTTCACAAGAAGGGAATTGGCCTATTGGAAAGTATGATTTCCAAAGTGTTCTTCCTTGGAGTGTCTTGGAACAGAGGCTATGATATGGTAGACTTTTAACCCACAGTTACCGTAGCTTGGATTGTTACCCAGGTATTTTCACCCTTCCTATTTTTTTTTTTACTTTTTATTCATAAAAATCCAATAAAGCCGCAACTCTTCTAACCTCATATTTTCCATTTGTTAGCGTATATTACTTATATTGTACTTTTTCCTACATACATTAAATATACCCTGATCAAATTCATTTCCACCCTCTTTCTCCTTCATCCCTCATTCCGCTTTTATAAAGTAATGTTACTGGACTTCATAGTTCTATTTTCATGCATTTTGTCACCATTCTAACACTGAAATGACCTGTGAGACATCCCTATACTCCTACAGGGAAGAACTGTATTCTACTATTTAGCTATACCACACTTACCTAACAGGTCTTCAGTTGACAGATATTAAATATTCTCTGTACAATACCATGGCACCTGAAAATGAGAACAACTTTAGTTCTTTTTCTATTTTTATGACTCTTATTTACTTTTTTTGACTGCTTTCTGGGACTAGACATTTCACTACTATGTTGAAGATAAGTGACGAGAGGGGCCTCTTTATCCTGGTCCTGATCTTAGTTGTGGACTTGTCACGTAGAGCTTTTATTGCACTGATATAAATTCCTTCTATGCTTAATTTACTGAGAGCTTTTTTCATGAAACAATGTTTAATTTGTCAATGTTATTTTTATCTGCATTTTCTGATCATATAGTTTTTGTCATGCATTACATTAATATTATGTATCACATTTATCAACTGGTGAATAATGAATGATATTGTATTCTCCAGGATAAATATCACTTGACGATGGTAAGTGATCTTTACAATACGTTGTTGAATTTGGTTTGGTAGTGGCTTTTTTTTTTATTACAGTTCTGAGGCTTATACTCAGGGCCTGGGTGCTGTCCTTGAGCTTTTTTGTGCTCAAGGCTAGTGCTCTACCACTTGAGCCACAGAGCCACTTCCAGCTTTTTCTGAGTACCTTATTGGAGATAAATCTCACCTACTTTTCTGCCTGGGCCGGCTTCAAACTAGTCCTCAGATCTCAGCCTCCTGAGTAGCTAGGATTACAGATGGGAGCTACCAGTGCCCTTCTTCACTAGTATTTTGTTGAGGATTTTTGTTGCTCATTGGCGATATTGGGTGAACAGACTACCCTTGGTTAACAAGACACACAGGTTTGCAGAATGAGCTTAGTGAGTGAAGTTCAGAGGGCGCTGACAACCGTACCTTTCTGTGGCTCTTTGAACAAGATAGAGGTGCCCTAGACTACATCTGGGAATTGAAAGAACCAAGATACAAGGCTGTTCAATTTCTACCATGGGACTAAGGTTGATAGTCTCAACTTGTGTGTCTCAGATTGATAAGTATCTCAGTAGCCAGGCAGGATCCTACCCATATCATAGCGGAAAGAGGGCAAAGCTGAGTTACAGGATCATTTCAGAATTTACTGCAAAATTTTAGTTAGTTGGCCTGCTTTGAGGGGTTATGGACAGACATGTCTTCCACCAGTTAGGAATCTGCAGACAAGGTTGTTTCTGAACTACTATTGAGAGAGGCTGGAGGCAGGTCATGGGCTGCTTCAGGCTACAGAAGAGACTGACATCAATGAGCCAGTTCCCCAAAGCATAGGTAGGTGACACTACTCCTAGGCCCTTTAATGGATGATCTCATTGCCAAGCAGGACTATGTCCAAGCCCTGAAGCAGATGGCACCATTTCTATGTTTGGAGCCAGGATCATGGGAAGTGAAGCTGCCACCTTGGTGTGGGACTTGACTTCTCAAAATGTCTCCTCTTAGCTTTAGTCTCAAATGGGGTTTTGCCACCTTAGCCTACATCCCAAAGCTTTTGTAAAGGCATTTTTTTTTCTAAAAATGGCATTATATGGTTGACATGAAGGGACACAAAAGGCATCATTGTATTCAGCCATCTTACTGATGCTGCTCTCTGCAGTTTTAATTATTAAAGGGGTATCTGCACACTGAGAATTTTAAGTAGTATAAACAAATAAAGCACGTGTGTAGCTGGAGCATGACTCAAAGGGATGGAGTACCTTTCTAACAAGCATGAAACTCTGAGTTCAAACCCTAGAACCACCAACAAACAAGCAAACAAACCACAAAGTTAGTACTTATTTGTGTTTAATATATTCTCACCACTTCATACATATTTCACATATTTGCGTTTCCAACAGACATATAGAGGGTAAATAGTGAAGGAAATCTTAAACTCCTTTCTCACACCAATTCCAATTTTCTCTTCAGAAGCAGGTTATATTTTCTAACTAGTTTGTATCCTTCCGGAGCTTTTTGTTCCTTTACATAAAATATATGTTGCTCATTTTTAAATATTCTGCAATTTCGAAGTCAAGATAAATATTTTAAATATTCTACATTTGGTCATTCTTCCTGAGAGGTCTATCAACAGATTGCCCTGTATATTTATGATCACTGGATGTTATTCTTTAAAATCTGTGCCAATCTGATGTATTAAATATAATAATTCCTTGATTTAATTTGTACTTTCTTGATTTGGAGTTTGACAGAGCTTCTCCTATGCTAAGTGGACAGTTGTAATTGTTCTTTTTATGAACTGTTGTTTTACTTTTTATTTGTTTTTATTCCTAAGGTCTCCTTGCTTACTATACATATTGTTTCTCCATTAATGACATTAGAAGTTGAGTCTCCTAGTCTGTTGTTTATTTTTAAGTTCCATTTTAATTTTTTATACAGTAAATATGTCATTAAATATCATGTTTCCTGGTTATAAATCTTCCTAATAAAGGAGTTCTTACTCTTTAATTTTTATCTTGCATTTCTTACTGTACCATTAATAATCATCTGGAATATTACCTTTATGACAAAGAAAATTTCTAGATACGCATGGAATATTTTCTGGTGTCTATTTGACTCTGTCTTTATATTTCTTCTATATATTTAATTTCTGAATGAGAAGAATGTTTATTAGAACAAAAATATGTTCCTCTAAATTTTGTGGTAGTAACCATCTCAGTATTCTCTCAGTGACTCACAAACCTAACTGATCATCCAATTTAGCCTGGATGTTTCTTAAAAACAATGGATTTTTTTTTTTACAAACATAACACAAAAACTATACCAAATACTTGTGAGAATGTGGAGAAAAAGCAAGTTTTATACACTATTAGTGGGAATGTATAGTGGAAAACAGAGACCCAAATGTAATAAAAGTGGCATGTTAAAGAGACACCAGCACTCCCATGTTTATCATAGCACTATTTACAATTACTAAATCTAGCTCAACCCTGTCCATCAAGGGATAAATAGATAAAGAAAATGTACACTCATACACAGAGACATACACATAAACACACAGAGACACATAGGAATAGTAGTGAGCCAGAAAAAGCATAAACTTCTGAATATTAAGGCAACTTAGTCCATTTGAAGGACTGGTAAACATTAAGGTAAATAAAGTAAGTCAATCCAAGAAAGGTAAGTACAACATGACTTTACTCTTAATGCATATATGCAATCTAATAGTAAAAGTTAAAAGTATAAAAATGATTTCTAAATCCTGAGAATGGATAAAAGAGAGATCATGTGGAGAATTTGATCAATAGGTATAATGTCACAATTAAGAAAAGTTTGGTATCAGTTGGTGCTGTAGGATGAATCTGATGCACAGCACTGCATTATAAATCTCAGGTTAGAATATATGTGTTTGAATGTACTTACCATAAATAACCAAAGTTTAAAGACATGTATATGCTAACTACCTTAACTATGTATGATGTGAGTCAAAAACATTGCATTGTCCCTCATAAATATGTGTAAATATTGGAGGAGTTATGGTGAAAATTTATTGAATTCTGGTTTAGCTGTATGTGTGTATTCAAGGGAAATTTCAAACCAAGGACTTTTGAGAAACTTTACTGATGACTAATATACCAATATGAAAGTAAACACTATCAAGTAACAACCTTCTTTCAGAAAATGTTCTAATACCTATATGTCCTATGCTTCTGATACAGATTTGGGGTTCCTCTACCTAGGTGTTTTAAATATTCCTTTCATATCCTTTTACTCTCTGCTTTTCTTATCTTCAGCATCTACTTGTTATCAGTCAGCTTTTTTAAACAGGTAGAGAGTCAGTCTCTCCATTGGCCTGTTCATCTGAGCATCATATCATGCAGTATAGACTTGTGAATTTCAAGGTGATAGGCAATCACTAGGTGAGTCTTCTGACAACTTACTTGTCCTTCCAAAAATCCTTTCATGAATTTGAAAGAAAGCTTGTTTGTCTTTCTGTTGTGTATGGGCTACAAGAAGGCTGCATTTTTAATGCATTTCTTAGGTGATATGGTAGCAAATAGTCAGGTTAATAGCCATGTTCAAATCTACACTTCCAAGTCTTCATCAAGATTTACATTTTTAGGATGGTGCTGAGATCTGGGGGATTAAGAGTCAAAGACAGCCCAGGCAGAAATGTCTTTGGAACTTCATCTCTAATCAATCAGCAAAAACCAAGGCTGACAGCATGGCTTAAATGGTAGAGTTTGACCAATAGCAAGCAAGCCAAGAGGACACAAGACTCTGAATTCAAGTATGGATACTGAGAAAAAATATTATCCATTTATTGTTCAATAAATGTTAGTGCGTACCTGCCCTGAGAAAGATACTGAAATTTTAGGAGTAATTACTGCTCATTCAAGGAATTAGTATGCTTTGGATACCAAAGGAATACTGAGTCCTCCTGTTTTTTTTTTATTGTAAAGATGCTGTACAGAGGGGTTACAGTTACATGAGTAAGGTAATGAGTACATTTCTTGTTGAGCATTGTTACTCCTTCTTTGCTTTTTCTCCTATTATCCCTTCCCTCCCCTCCTAGCCCACTCACTCCCTGAAGTTGTAAAGTTCATTTCCAACATAGTGTCTTGTGAGTCTCATTGTTGCAATGGATAATCCTGTGTCCTTATTTTAGCATTTTGTTAATTCCCTTGCCTCCCCAAATTATATAAATGCATGTACAAGATGCAGACTACCAAAATCAAATACAGTGACAGCAGGAGATGTACCATAGGGGGAAGAACACACAAAAGTACCAAAAGAAAATCACATAGTACATTTAAAACAACAACATTAACAAAGAAGGAACTTTTGTATCCCTGTCTTGGGGTTCATTTTGCTTAGCATCATCTTATATAGATTTTGAGCTTTTCTGCTCATTTGATAAGATCATGCTAGATGTATACTAATAATTGCATTATAAGGGAATCCATGGGACCTATATTTCTTTGGGTCTGGCTTACTTTATTTAATATAATTTGTTTCCAAGACTTTCCATTTCTTAACAAATGAGGTAGTGTCAGTTTTTTCTGATGGAAACATAGAATTCCATTATATATGTGTGTGTGTGTATATATACATATCATATTTTTTGATCCATTCATCTACTGAGGAGCATCTGGATTGGTTCCATATCTTAGCTATGGTAAATAATGCTGCAATAAACATAGGTGTGCTGGTAGCTTTATTATGGCTTTGTTTGTGATCATTTGAGTAAATACTCAGAAGTGAGAAGCCCATGGATTTGGAGTAGATCTTCACTAGCCATACAACAGACAAAGGCTTCATATCTAAAATATACTTACAACTCAAAAAATTGAATCCCCCCAAACAAATCCTCAAAGAATCAATCACCCAATTAACAAGTGGGCTAAAGACTTAAGAGAGATTTCTCTGAAGAGGAAATAAGAATGGCTAATAGACACATGAAGAAATGCTCAATTCTCTGGCCATAAAGAAATGCCAAGCAAAACAATATTGACATTCCACCTCACCCCAGTTAGAATGGCTATAATCAAGAGATCTAATAACAACAGATGCTGGTAGGGATGTAGCCAAAATGTAACCTTACTGTACTGTTGGTGGAAGTGTAAACTTGTTCAACCACTCTGAAAAGCAGTATGGATGTTCCTCAAAAGACTACTCATAAAGATCCCCTATGACCCAGCAGTCCTGTTTTAATGTTGAGAATGTTCCAAGAAAAATTCTTGCTGCGTTCCAACACAAGGTGAGTTATTAAGTATATCTTCAAGAGTTGACTTTGGGTATTCCAACAAATCCTGAGATAATCTTGAAATGTCTTATCCAGAAAAGAAATATGGGGGATTGGACTATTCTGTTATGCTTCTTATCTAAAGGGGGGAATGCAACAGTGATCATATGTGTTCAAACCATATAATTAAAATTACATTACAGTCCAGTAATATGGCTAAAATATTGAGTACTGATTCTGCTGAGGAACTCTTTATATATTCTTTCCAGTCTTTATAATAATCTTGTGAGATATAAATGAATACCTCCAGTTAAGAGATCCGAACATTAATACCCAGAAAAATAACATGATTTTCCTGCAGCCACACACACATAGAAACCCAAAGAGGAAGGAATGGTAGTGGCCAGATATATGGATCCAAAAATTGTGGTATCTATACACAATGGAATATTATGCAGCCATTAGAAATGACAAAATAATGGCATTTGCAGGGAAATGGATGGAGCTAGAAGGAATCATGTTGAGCGAGGTAAGCCAAGAACGAAGAGACAAACGGTACATGGTCTCCCTCATAAGTGGATGCTAAATCCAAAAGGTTAGGTGATACGACAAAACTAACAGGACTTAAGAAACAAAGAACTCCCGCTCATCTGGTTGAACCACTACTAAATATCCTCATGCTGCTGATCACAAATATGGTATATAACATGTGAACACTGTTATATATTATAGACTGTGGTAGACAATTTGCTCCAGGGAAGTTAGAATGAACTTGTGACTTTGAAATTATGTAATCATTTAATCACAATCAAAAAAAAAAAAAAGAACCTCGGGGAAGGGAGGGAGGGAGGGGATGGTAGGGGGAAAACAATGGAGGGGGTAACAATGTTCAAGAGGAAGTGTACTCATAACCTCACTCATGTAACTGTAACCCTCTGTATAGTAGCTTTACAATAAAAAAAAAAATAAAATAAAATCTATGCACCTTGGAGCTGGGAAGGTGGCTCAGTGGTAGAGTGCTTGCCTTGCATGCATGAGGCCCTGGGTTCGATTCCTCAGCACCACATAAGCAAAAAGAAAAAATCTGGAAGTGGCGCTGTGGCTCAAGTGGTAGAGTGGTAGCCTTGAGCTAAAGAGCTGAGGGACAGCACCCAGGCCCAGAATTCAGGCCCCACAACCGACACACACACACACACACACACACACACACACACACACACACACACACACACATATGCACACACAAATCTGTGTACTTTGGAGTCTGGCATAATTGAATTCAAACTCCAGCTCTACCACATTCCAGATGATGTCACAATTTTTGAAATTTTTAATGTTTTATCTTCTCAGGAGCAATTGGAAGAATTAAATAAATGTAGTAATAATGACCATAACACATTTCTCAGATCCAGAGTAAATGTTTGGGTAATGTTACCACAGCCTGTAACCCAGGTGTTTTTACACACTCAGTTTCTATCTTTGTTCTTAAAGACCAGATAAGACTGCAGCTGTGCAGTCCTTGGGGCAACTCCTATTCCAAGCAAGAGAGTCCTGTCTCCTGACCTAGTGCCTCAAATTTATCAGTAAGACGAACAAAGCCAGGCCTGGATGGTTCTGGGCTAGGAAATGTGCTCAGTAATCTACACCTTCTTTTCAGTCTCATCCATCCTCTCTAAAGATTTTATACACAGGCTGGCCAGTACTCACCCTGGGCCACAGATTCACCTCTGACTGTTTGGTAGTTTATTGGAGATAATATTCTCATGAACTTGCCTGCTCAAGCTACCTCTCTTTGAACTGTAATTCTCAGATCTCAGTCTCCTGAGTAGGCAGGATTACAGGGATGAGCCACTGGCACTTAGCTGAAGGACTCATTTTTAGTTCACAGAGCATTATGCCTTGTTTTGTCTGATATTCATACTCATTCTTCAGGAAAGCTATCCAGACTTATTTTGTCAAGGCCATGATTCTAATATTTCAATATTCAGGCTTGATATATTTGTTAGACTAGTGCCTCTCACTTCTCCTTAGGGATATTCTAATTTAGCAAATCTAGATTAGGGAGGTATTTCCATGCTTAATCAGCCTCCCAGGTGATTCTACTGTAAGTGTTCCTTAGTAGAGTATTTGCAAATTCCCAGATTAGAATGTGTGAATTATTTACCTATCAAATGTGTTCTGGTAGCTGGCTGGACTTCTGTAGGCAATGACTGGTCCAATTACTTCCTTTATTTAGAGGTGCAGTTTGTAGCTATGAATTTTGATTTCCATCTAGACCCTCACAAAAGAGGTGTTCAGGGTCAATGTTCTTCCCTTATTGAGACATTGTGATGTGCTGGAGAACACTTTGCTATGTAAGGAAGCTATTTGGGTATTGACAGTGTAATCTGAATCAGGACTCTCACTCTCTGAATCTCAGTTGTTCTTCTAGAACATGGGGTTCTTTTGGCATTTCTATGGAGTTCTACCTCACAGAGATGTCCTAAAAATTAAGTGACATGAAACAGGTTAAGAAGCTAACAAGGTGCTTTATGCAGAATGGAGTTCAGTGTTTGTGAAGTGGTTAAAACCAGTGTCTCGGATCTACTGTTTAATCATTGAAGTCCTTCTGTGCACCCCAGTTAGTCTGTCTCTTGATATAGGGAGGCATTAATAGAATGATTTCGAAGGTGTGTTGCAGTGTAATGATGTGGGTCTAATCTCAATTCTGTGTTGTGGGCTGTGGGACAAGGTTCAATGCCAGAATTGACGTAAGGTTTTTTGAAGTAGATCATCATCTTGTCAACATGTAGTGTTGCCAACCAGTCCTGGTTTGATGCATTACCCTCCCTTTTTTTTCTATCTCCTTGCTCTTTGACCTTGCTTTCCAATTCTGCCTGAGAATGACACATTTTTGATAGCAAACAGAAAGAGGGAGCTTTCTAAGGCAGGAGAAAGTACAATGAAAACAACAAGATGCCGAATAGTTTCTTTGGTGTGGATTTCATTACCTCTGAGTAGTTTCTTGTAAAATATGGACGAGTTGGTGTTTCAGAGCTTTCCCAGGAGGTTTTATTTGGTAGTTATGTTGTATACTAACTTTGGTATTCATTCAAGAAAGAGCAATGAGGGAAGTCAGAAAAGACTGGGTGGTATGGTTGTAAAGTTGTTTGCTTTATAACTGCAAACAGGCAGTGGCTTAAAAAGTCATAACAGAGTTGGAGAACCTGAAGTTTGTGGAACAACAGTCATTAAAATGATTCCCAGGGGTCAGAAGAGCGGAGACTTAAAAAAAAAGGAATTCTCATGCCACACTCCTAAATGGATGGCATTGCTAACATTAATAATAGCCAACAGTGCCTTTTTATAGTGTTTACTCTGTGCCAGGCACACGTCTAGACAGAGTTTCACATCTTAACTCTTAAACTGCATAATAATCTACAGGGCAGGTACTGGTGGTACCATCTGCATATTCAGATCAAGAAAGGAGTGATTTAGTGATTTGCCCTTAGTCATGCATAAAGTATGTGATATAGCCTAGACTTGAATATATGTCCCCCAGATATGTGCTGTACTGCCTTTCAGGTATGTATAAAACAGCTAAGGAGGCATGAGGGTAATGTATTTGTGTTGTGAGGTACTTCATAGTTATCGATAAGGGTCAGTTTTCCCCACACATCAGAGAAAGATTGAAAAATAAAGAAGTTCAGATCCTAATTGACCTGCTTCCCCAGATTATTATCTCTTATCACCTCATAACTGGAGCGAAATCAATAGATCTGAAGTGTACA